TTTTTTTTTTTTTTTTTTGCACGGTGAATTGTTCAGGCCCAAACTGTGATCCCGTTTGTCCAAATACCTCCTACCGAAGACATTTTGGGGGAGTACAATTTGAGTAATCATTCCGGCGAGGTTTCAGATCTGTTCTCTGTTGAGGGATTCGTGTCGAGCTGTCGACACGGCGATGGGAGATCGGCTCCCGACAAAACATACTTTTTTGTAGATTCTCGTCCTTGTGATCTGCCATCCGTAAGTCTTTCGATGATGAGCTGAAGACAACATTTTGCTCATAAAAATTTTCATGGATCTCCAGATCGCTAAAGTGATCCGAAATGTGTATCAGCAGTTCAACAGGAATCAGTATCCTTTCGTTTGTTTGAATATCGCTGTGAAGAAAGGAGCTGTGGATGTGAATGTAACGCCGGACAAACGGAAGGTTATGTTGCATCACGAGAAACTTTTCTTGGCCACCGTGAAGGTGCGTAGTTTTGATCTTTTTTTTTTTTACAATGAAACATTCGTTCTTTCCTAAAACACAAAATCTCACTCTTACTTCATGGAATGTCATGCAGGTGCTATCTGAATCTTTAACCTTACGAAAACAAATATTAAACAGGAACGTATTTGACGTTAAATAAGCAAGCGTGACTTGACCTAGCCAGAGATGACGTGACGGAAGTCAGGTGACATGTAAAAGCAAATAAAATCGTGACTATGGACATATTTGAAAAATTAAAAATCACCCTTTCTTTCCATTTCATTAACATTTTATATTTTTGTCGAGTACGGACGAGATGATCTTATCTTTTCAATTAGGCTCGTGTAAATTCCGTTGACTCTTCCAAAAGCTCTCGCTTACTATGTTTTATATTGAAGATTATGCTCTTGGTGTAGGTTAAAAATGCGTTTCTCTTCAAACTTTTTTCTTTTTCTAATATTTTCAGTCGTCGTTGATCGAAATGTATCAGAATATTCCATCACAAATTCCCACGATTGACAGCAGCCGCACAATTCTCGATGCCACTTCAACTAAAAGCACCAACGAAGAGAATAGTGAAGAAAAGCTAACTTTTGCTGCAAGTATTGCTTCTAGATTTAGCTCATCGTCTCCTGGTCATCGTTTCTCGTCGGAGCGGAAGCGATTGTCTGTGAATACGCTTGAATTCCGTGCCAAAGAAAATTCGAAACGTGAGCAATCGTTGTTATGGTCGAAAGCTTGTTGGTGTAATAATTTCAATTCATTTATTTTTGATGCTAGAAAGAAAATTGGAAACGTATTTTGGGAAGTGCGACGATTCCTCATCCAAGGCACAGACTGAAGTGGATCAGGTTTTTGGCTGTACTGGTTCCCAGCGAAATAATTCGTCAAAGAACAGATTTTCTGCGTTTGCGTGTTCAGTGGATGAATTTGTTTCCGCCGATCAACGTACGATCACTCTTAATGAAGCTTCTACGTCCGAAATCGAACGTGCATCCACGAATGAACAAACCTATGTGGAAGAAGGATCAGAAAATACCCTGGAATTCCGAATGCTGTCTGAATCTTCGGATATTTCGAAAATTAGTTTACCCGAGTCAGTTGACTTGTTACCATGTACAAAATCAAAATTTGAGGATAGTTTTCAAAATCC